ATCCTAGTTGAGTCATCAAATGCATTGCCAACACAGAAAGCTGCTAGATAAGACCTGTCCTAGAAAGTTTATTAAAAAGTAACAATCAGGTATATACTACAGTTTAATATTCAAGTGAATTGCCAAAACAGAAAGGATGGATGAGTTAAAAGTAGCCAATATATGCTCCTGCTAGGAGCTTTTTTTTAATTTTTTTTTTTAAGCTATCATTTTTATAGGCCTATACTTAATATAATGCTATGATGATGTGCTATTATTTTTCTGTTGCACTTGTATAACTGTAGGTCAAAGTTTAAAATGCTAATAGTGATTTCTGTATTAATTTATGTATTTTTTTTTAAAGCGATTATGTCAGTGACATGCAGTATGATTCTTAATGTGTCTCACGATGGAATATAGCCGCCATGTCTTTTGCTTTTTTCGAAGTCCTGACTAAGCTATGGCTCGTTTCTACTCTCAAACGTAACCGGTTATTCAACCGGAGTATTAAAAACACATTGTTAAATTTTGTAGTAGAACCAGGGTCCCCCAAAAACATGGATTAAGATAAACGGTTAACATTGTATAATATTTGAGCGGTTATTTTTGGCACATTTTCTCGTCAACATGCAAATACAGTATTAGCTATGACACTGGTGGCCTCGTTTCAGATGATTTTTTGTGCTCATCCCCTTCTGTTCTCAGCATGCACAAAGAGTAACCAAAGTACTATATTACTAACTGTGTGTGATTTTTGTTTTGCGGTTATTACACCAATTTAAGCCGGGCACACACCTGTCTCTTATACACATCTACACAGATTTCAACTTAGAATCGGACAAAAAAAGAATCAAGTTTTCCTATCGCAAAAAAGCACTTCTATCCAATTCTGGCCTTAATTACAAGCAAGGAGATCATGTTGTAGATGGAATTGTATATAGTTCCTTTGGGAATCGGGAAAATAATACATTAGATGAGTTATCATTTGAGGATGCATTTCAAAATGGAGCTGATAACGATGTTAGAAATCATTCAAAACCTGAAATCGAATCAAAATATACTTTTAACAAACAGAAAGAATCTGGAGTTATGACGGAATATTTAATAGCAAATAAAGATCCACGATCCGAACGTCTACTTAAGAAGGTGTTCAGTACGATGAATGATGATTTGTACCATAAGTTTTTTACAAGGATTAAATACTTTGAAATTAAAAATCGCATGACTTTCAAGCAGTTGCCACCTCAAGGGAAATGGAAGTTGTTAATATCAACAATGAAGGAGCTTGGCTACGAACAGAAGTTACCAAAAGTTATTAATATTGGCTCGAAAAAGAGCGGCACGAATGCATTTGGGTTTTTCTTTCAACAGCATCCGGAAGTCTGCCACTCACTAGGCAATGAAGTTCACTATTTTGATTGGAATCATGAAAAGGGTACTGGGTACTATAAATCGAGGATGGGATTTGCTACAAAAGACCAAATTAGTTTTGAGAAAACACCACGTTATTTTGTAACTGAAGACGCGCCTTTATTTATACAGAAAGAACTTCCAGAAGACATTAAATTTGTATTATGCGTCAGAGACCCAGTACAACGAGCCATCTCAGATTTTCGCCATGAATCTGAGCTGCAAGAGCGAAGAAAATTTAAAGGCAGGGTAGATCGTACAAAATATTTGTCTCAAAACGGGATAATGCAAGGGCGTGAATTTGAAAAATTGGTGTTGACTCCGAACGGGGAGGTCAATGCGTCAAATGAGATCATTCGGACAAGTCTTTATTTTACACATTTTCAAAACTGGTTGAAATATTATCCGAGGGATCGGTTCTTAGTTATTAATCACGATAACCTTCAGAATGATGTGTTAACGGAACTGAAGCGAGCAGAACAGTTCTTAGGTTTAAAGTCGTATTTTAGAGCGGATATGTTTTATTTTGATGAAAGTAGGCATGGATCCTGCATGAAAGGTAAACCTCGGCCATGTCCCGCAAAGAGCACGCCCGGTTTCCTACCCAAAGCGCAGTTAAACCCTCAGTTACAAAAGAAGTTATACGATTTTTATAGGCCATACAACAATGCATTTGCGAAACTAATTGGAAAGAGATTTGCATGGATGAATCAATGATAATTGATATTCTGAGATTGTACAGTAGATAGGAAAGAAAACATTAATGGATTTGATAACCTTCAACCGTACTCTAACGTAATTTGACCTATCCTAGTTGAGTCATCAAATGCATTGCCAACACAGAAAGCTGCTAGATAAGACCTGTCCTAGAAAGTTTACTAAAAAGTCAGAACAATCTGATAATACCAGTTATTCTAGTGAATTGCCAACATAGAAAGCATGGATGAGTTAAAAGGGGCCAAAAAAAACAAACATGTCCAGCAGTTACTGGACACACAATCCCCCTGGGAGTCTATTTTAGTTTGGTGAGGATTTTTTTTTACCTTGTTTCAAACTTTTGTTTTAAAGATTAATTGTCAGAGGAAGGCGGAATAAAATAATATTGTTTTCTTACAGATAGTTTTGCAAAAAACATCTAGACGGAGGAGAAAATAAAAATAAAATTTTATTGGTGAATGTAAAGAGTGTAGTAATGGGATAGTTCAATGCATTAAATTTAAGTACAGTAGGCAGAAATATACATATCTTATTTTATGAGATTTTTAACGCAGCGGAGGGCATAATGTAATTGGCCAAAAATAAAATTGTATTTGTTATTCGAAATCATCATTATTGGCGGGCAGCCGGTTAGCTAAACAAAGTACTGTATAAAAAAGGTCTCGACTTATAAGATAGTTTAAGTCAAGTAGTAGTTAACTACTGCGTCTTTCGTTCAGACATTTTTTCTGCGAAGTGATAAGAATTTTTTGGCAATGTATGTCTAATTCAAAACTAACATTTGATGTTTTTTTTAGAATATTTTTGAAGTCAAAACCTGGGCATTTGAGGAAAGGCTAGTACATAAAATTATTATTATTTATGCATAGCTTTTAAAAAATGTCTTTTTTTTTTTTTATTATGCTCATAATTGTCAGGGTTTTTTGTTTTTAATTTGAGTTATTTTTAGTTAGAACTATATTCTAAAGTAGGTTAAAATAAAGAAGGAAAAACAACATTTTAAATAGACTATTACTTAAAAAAAAAACATCATAAAAAGGAACAGCAGGTAGGCCTAACATAAATTAACTAGATAACTTTCAGCATTTAAGAAAAAATACGAATACAAATTGCCATTGTATAAAATATTAAATTGAAGTTTAACATAAGTTGAATAAATATTCTTGTGGAATTGGTATATTCACTCTTTAGGTCATTCAATACGTATTCTCTTGAAGTTTAACATTAATTCATCTAATGCAATATATACAGGACTTCACAAGACAAAGAAAACCTTAACAAATTGTTAGTTGGAAATGATATGGAAATTTATATAGTGAAGCATAATTTTCATATATATAAATGTAGTATTAGCCGCAGAAGATGAATCTGTATATAATAATTAGAATTGCCATTATAATTGGAACAATCGACAGAGAAAGAAATTAGATTACGCTATAAATCGCACTGCAGTCCACACGCTTTCACATCAATATGTAAACTAGAGAAAAATATTCAGCGACAATATTATAGAAGTGTTTTAAGGTTTATTGCGGTTGATGTACGCTGGTTGGCTTTAGATAGCTTGCAGATTAGGCAGCTCTCATTAACGCAACCTAGTTTATAATTCCGTGTGAAAGCGGATAGTTAATTAGTCATTGGGGAATCTAGAACAACAAAAAATATACATATTACATTTTGCATGATGTAACTGAGAAACGAAAATGATGTGAAAAGCAGCATTCATAATCAAGAGGATCATCGGGATGTCTTTTTAACATGATGACGAATAAACTTACCACCGGTGGTGGATCTAGAAATATGCCAACAGGGGGGCTGACGAGGGGGTTCAAACGAAGGAGATGACTACAGCCTCAGTAAGATTCATGGGAAAAATTGTTATGGTTTACTTAATAGTATGGCCTACAATTGTGCTGTTAGACCACAATATTAGGGATTGGCATTCCAAATAACGTTTATTAGAGGGGGAAAATTTTCCCTCTGACCTCCTTGGTGTCGCTATTGCGAATCAATTTTTGATAACTACTGATCCTGAGTTGGTGAATTACCGAGTCCTACCTTACTGCCAGTGGAAAAAAAAAGGCAGGGAGGGAATGGAAAAGCAACTAATCAGTACAGTACAATGAATAACTGACGAAAAATACAGCTTCCTAAAAATGGTCATGCGAGCGACTACTAAAATGATAAAAGGGAGTGGTACCAAAATTCCAAAAGGAAATAGAAAATCCTAGGGATTTGAACTTGAATGATACATGTTAGAATCCCTGTATAATTCTAATTATTTACAATTGAAACATTTTCTTTACGTATTATTTATTTATCACAACATTTAATACTGATTTTTTTATATTATGCTCTTTAATATCTAATTCAGAACATCTTTGAGAATATTGTTTTGTTGTCAAAAGGAATAAATTAACAGCGGCGAATTGAGAAACTTGAAATAATAGAGGTGGGGTAGCAGCTTGGGAAAGGACTTTCACAAATGGAGGATCTATACCACTTCAGACCCAACCATGGTGGGGCTAGATGACTGGAAAGAGCATTCCCAGAAATACGAATAAATTTTTTTATCTCCATTTTTTTAATTTTGAAAAATCCCCTCCCATTTGAACTGCCACGGAGTAACATAATAATAAAACAAATACTGTATGTGATATAATGGGGAAAATCAATAATTCAGCGGCACACTGTTCAGGTGGTAATCAAAAACTAGTGAAAATCAATTAAACACTGCACAAGTGTTCTATTGACATGTTTCACTGCCAAGGATTTAGGTCATAATTATTCAAGTTCATGACCTTGGAGAAAGAATGGCCTACTGCCAGATTCGAACAAATGACCTTTTGCAGTACTATTCCAACACTAGTAACAAAAACCTTTTTGTAGCAAATGATATAGTAAACATCATGTATCGGACTATCGACATAAGAAAAAAGCCAGTGCAAACAGCCTATGTAACATTCGCCTTGTCAAACCAAACCATGTGGTAAGTTTGTAGGGCAGATCTATCCAGAAAAAAAAATTGGTAGGGTGCATGTGACGTTCTAAGCACCGATTGTGGGGTAGGGGCGGTGCTGGAGATTTTTGTTTAGAAATGCTTGATCATAGACAAATGGAACTTAAATTGAAAACCAGCAGTTTTGGAGTACCGTACTCAAACTCTTTCTTCCCCCACCCCCAGATCTTCCACTGTAACTGTAACTGAGTGAATATTGTCCAGAAAGAACAAGGCTGTTTTTTCTAACCAGTAGAGTACAATGTGAACAGCGCAACTTGGTTAAATCTCCCTGAATGCACGCTGATACGCGCATTGCCGTACATTTTATATTTTCTCATTGAATGAAGAATTGTGTATGGTGGGTCACTGAATGATGAACTTTGATAGTGTGTTACTATAATTACAGCATTGGTCAAAATTGCTAGGGTGGATCTAGGAGGCCATGGGGGTGGGACAGAGACACTGCCTCCACCACTGACACCCCGCCCCCCCCTCCCCAAAAAAATAAACCAAAAAGATTCTCTTTCAGGGATGAAAAGAGGAAGATGGAATAGAGAAAAGGAAATTGGTATTGGAAACCTGTCTCTTATACACATCTAGATGTGTATAAGAGACAGGTATAAAAAAGGTCTCGACTTATAAGATAGTTTAAGTCAAGTAGTAGTTAACTACTGCGTCTTTCGTTCAGACATTTTTTCTGCGAAGTGATAAGAATTTTTTGGCAATGTATGTCTAATTCAAAACTAACATTTGATGTTTTTTTTAGAATATTTTTGAAGTCAAAACCTGGGCATTTGAGGAAAGGCTAGTACATAAAATTATTATTATTTATGCATAGCTTTTAAAAAATGTCTTTTTTTTTTTTTTTTTTT